ATAAAAATATTTTTTAAAAATAAACTTATCGGATCGAGAGGGGTGACTTGATCATCGACTGCACAGTTGGATAGTGAGAAAGAGCAATAGCGATGGTGGGAGAGAAAGAAAGGGAGAGGGGGAGAGGAGAGAGGATAGAGATTTGGGCTTGAAATCATGGGGGAAATGATGTTGCCCAACATGGGGGATTCAATTTTTTTTTTAGCGACAAATTTACTGATGGAATTTCTCTTGGTAATGTGTTATTTTTTTTTTTCAAATTCTTTTAACCGATAGATTTAGCAATGGAATTTTTGTTGGTTTTATTTTTTTTTTTGTTGAAAATATATCTAATTGTTCTACCATTTGGGTCAAATTAGAAATATTTTCTCTTTTTGAATTTCTAAAATTTCCACCATTTGGGCCTATTTAGAAATTCTTTCTTTTTTGTCTTGGAAAGAAAATAATATGACAATTATTTTGTTAGTAATCCGTTGGTAAAAGTTTTTTTAAATTCTATTGGTAATCCATCAGTATTAAGCGATGAAAAATTTTCATCAATAATAGCTAAATTTCTAGTAGTCAGACAAAATATAGAGAAGTGACATTCCTAGCATTGACATGAAATAAGCAGTTATTTCATTCCAAGTTACTCATATCATGTCAGTAACGGATCTTGATACTTAATTTTGAAGGGGCCAACTAATTCTATATTTTATTTTTTCTTAAGACTTCTAATATTGTGTGTGTGTGTGTGTGTGTGTGTGTATATATATATATATATATATATATATATAAACAGTATTTTAATAATAAGTAGTAAGGTCAAAAACTTATAAAATAAAAATATTTACTATGACAAAATTTAATTTTAAAGAGTACCAATATTTTCAAATTAATGTAAAATATCTAACTAAACAATCTTTCAATGAATTATGAAAATTTTTTATTATTTTGATAATTCAAAATTAAAAGTAAAAATAAATAATTTGTTAAACAAGTATTTTTTATCGAAATAAAAAAATAAATATACTTTTTGAAAGAATGAGGCTGAAATTTTGAGATTCAAAGTTATGATCAAATCTTCTATATAATGGTTTTATTTTTTTTTCTTTTTGAAAAATAAATTGCAAGGCAACATGATATAAAGATCTAGAGTAAACTTAAAATTAAAAAAAATTATATGGAGATGAGAATTATAATAAATTAGAAAGAAAAGGGAAAAAATTATATGATTTTAGTCTTTCTTAAATTATAATGCATAAAATTAAATTATGAAACTAAACAAATAAATAAAATAAATATTAGAATTAAATATAATAAATATAGAATAACAATATAATTTTAATCCTTCTTAAATTCCAATGCAAAATTAAATTATGAAACCAAAAAATTAATAAATTAATAAATAAATAGTTCTAATTTAACATATGCCAATATATATATAATATATTTATATATTTATATAAGGGTTTTCGAAACTTTAAGGGGCCAAGGCCCCCACAAATTTAAATGACGGTCTGCTTCTATATCATGTTATCTTTTATATTTAAAGAAAAAAAAAAACTTATTCCATGATATCAATCAATACTATATTTATTAGCAACTGATAGCCACCAATCAAGAGTGTGGCTGCATTTTAAGTTCATTAAACACACTTTTGCAATCCACTTTTTTGGAACCGTATGGTATTGGGTTTGTTTATTTTCGTTAGCACAATTGAAATATATGCATAAGATACTTCTGTATTTCTTGATTAAATATGTAATCCACAAGACAATTAAAATGAGTATTGAAAAGACTATCTTCATATTTGTGCACAGTGTCTTCCCACCAATAGGTATTTCAATTTGCAAATTTCTTTCCTCTTTGATTATGATAAAGGCTAATATGTCAGTTTTTCAAATTCAATAGTCTGACTATTAACTATTATCATGATTGTGTGCCATGTTACCTTAATCTTTATGCCAATTTCTTCTTTGGAAATAGTAAATTGATTTTTTTTTCAAGTATGCATTGTTTTTGCAAGTCAGTTTCAATATACCTATCATTGTAGCCTATAACATCTTCATGTAATAAATTGCCTAGCAACTATGCATGTCTTGTTCGCTTATTTTACACAATTTTAGATATTCATTTCTCACCACATAAATTTGATGCACATATATAAAAAGTAGATCTTTGTATAAAAGCTTCACGTACAACATTGATCTATTGAAAATATCTCTTCATGTTTATTTTTTGTTAAAATTTCTTCTTTTTATTCTTTGGCATGCATGTCTTTTTGGTCTAGATAAATGGTAATTGTATTGTGTTTTAACAAACTGGTACATATGAGTAGCAAATTCTAATTACATTGTCATGTTCCAATTTCCCTTGGTAGGTACTCCTTTCACTTGAACATGACAATTGAAGTAAACAAAGATCAATGTTTTTTATTAATGCTTGACTATCTTTTCTAGATAAAGTTAGTCTTATACTCCCTCTATCCAATTTTCTTTGTTCATTTTTCCTTTTTAGGATGTTTCAAAATTTATCTTATTTCCTTTTTTGAACATTTAAAATTCGTATATTTTTATATTTTAAAATTATTTTTATGATTGTTTTAATTTTTAACATTAAAAATCATGAAATTTTAATTTTTAAAAACAAATTTTAATTTTAATATTAAATACATTAAACTCAAACTTTTTTTTTAAACTCCTCAAAAGTAAATATAAAAAAAAAAAATAGGGATAGAAGGAGTATTAGTTTTGTCTTTTAAGAGCATGTTTATATAACTTTAAATATTATTTCCAAAATACCTTCAAATTATCTTTATGTGATTATGTATGTGGCTTTATTTTTTTTTAATATTTTTAATTGTTATTGTTGTTGAACAATAGCAAGGAAAACTATTTATGTTTATTTTCATCATTTATTCATCTTATACTTGAAAATTTCGTTAAATAGAGTTATACTAATAAATCTTTATGTTTTTTTTTTTTCAAATTTAAGTCTGACCATTGTCAAAAGATTATTCTAAAATTTAGTAATAATTATTATGCTTAGTTGAAATATTGATTTTTTTTAATAAAAATTTCAGCCTATATATCCATATACTACTTCCTGGATAATTAAAGTTTGGGTCGCATATTCATTATAAACTGACGGACCAAATATATACGACATAAACCCAAATCTAAGGGCTTATTGGTTGGACTTAAATTAACGGCAGCTTACATTACAAATTGGAATTCTTCCGTGATGAATTAGGAAACCGACCTAATTCAACAAGTTTATATAAACGTACGTAACCCTATACTACCATTGATTAACTAGTCGTTTAAGTTCAGAGAAGAAGAAAGAAAAGTATAGAATGGAGGTGAAAGGAGTGAAGCTTAAGGTCCTTGGGAGGGGAGCATATGGTGTGGTACATTTGGTGGAAACGACTTCTCCTTGTTCTGGGCTGTTTGCTGTAAAATCTGCTCCTTTAACAAAGTCTTTTTCTCTTTCCAAGGAATGGGAAATATTTAAAAAGTTTATAGGTTGCCCAAATATTGTTCAATGTTTTGGTGGTTTCACGAGTTTTGAACGAGATGGGGGGTAATTTTATAACTTATTTCTTGAATATGCATCTGGAGGTAGTCTCTTGGATTTGATGAACAAGTATGGGGGCAAAATACCCTAATGTGATGTGAAGGATTATGCAAGAATGATTCTTGAAGGGCTTGTTGACATTCACAACAGAGGATACATCCATTCTGATCTTAAACCAGAAAATATTTTGGTTTTTCCATCTCAGACCGGTTCTGATTTGAATACTTTAAAGATTGCGGATTTCGGGTTAGCTAGACAATGTGGGGAAAAAGATATTCCACAACTTTGGGAATATGGTTTTCGAGGTACAGCAGATTATATGTCACCAGAATCTGTGATGGGAGAAATCAGTGGTGCATTGGATATATGGTCACTCGGTTGCATTATTGTTGAGATGATTAGTGGGAAAATGCCATGGAACTATAGGCAACCTGAAAGATTTGAGAAACAAGCTTTTGAATGGAGAATCACCCAAAATCCCAGAAAACATGTCAAGTATTGGGAAGGATTTCTTAACAAAGTGTTTTGCTAGGGATCCCAAGCAACGATGGATGGCTAATATGCTGTTAAGCCACTCTTTTCTTATGCCAGAGTTCAGCTTTTTTTCGTATGGAAGCAATCTCCACAACTCTTCTCAGCCCTTTCTTCAACAATTTTGACGAGGACAAATCGTTAATCCAATCCACAAAGAGTTTCCAAAAGGATGACAAATTCGGACCAGAAGGAGATTTGGTTGAAAACTTAAGGTTGCAAGTAATGAAGATGGGCGTCTAGGAATATGGTGCAAATTGAAGAATTCAAAGGCATAATCAACATGCAGATGAAACCTGAAAAAGCCACCCTCTTCCTCTTGGTTATGTTGCAACCAACATGTTATCAAAGTAGACCTGATGTTTGCTTTTAGGCTTTGTCTTGGATTAATATTTTCAAACTTTTTATTATTGTATTATGTTCTTTTAACAGTTTAAGCTTATAAATGTTCTTGACATATAGTGCATATTTTCTATATGTCCATGGCCATCCACTTTCATTAAATTTTATTTATTGTTAACTACTTTTTCTATCAAATCGAGTAATTAACGGCCAAATGGGCAGCGGTACTGCATGCTAAACCTTTTGTTCAAAAATCTTTTTTTATTAATAATATATAAGTAAATAAATGTATATAATTTTTATTTAATTTTAATTATAAAAATATATTTTAAAATATTAGTAATTAATACCTTAATAATAAACATAAAATAAACTGATTTGGATAAGCCAAGCTCAAGTCCAATTACACCAAGTTTTTAAGGTGTTAATTGAATCACTCGAGCTATGAAAACTTTTAGTTAAATGTTAATTTCTTAATTTAATCAAACAAATAAAATATATAGTACATTGAAATTGGATATTTAGAAATCTTTCAATCACCGTACCATGCATACTTGCATAGACCATGAACCTAATTAATCGATGGTATGTTCCAATGTTTCATATGCTTTACGTACGCACATTTGATGGTTATAAAAGATTTTTTATTGGCCAGTGATGGATATAAAAAATAAATCAAGTTTTTTATGAAATAAAAATCTGTAACATTTTTTTATTTATAATTACAATTAAATTCTCTAGGCATTTGTTATGGTAATCCTCATTCGAGATTCTTTTTCATCTTTGACAGAAATTGTTTTCTTTTTATCTGAAGGTAATAAAGTTGGCTGAGGGTCTGATAAATTTCACCAATTCGATCTTTCTTCGTAAGCTAGAACATAATAGAATATGCTGTAATATTAGAAAAAGGGAAGGGTGATTTTTTTTTTCCTGCTGAAGCTAAAAAAAATTAAGCTCTTACTCCTTTCAATGGAGTCACTTTAATTCGTTGCTCTCCTCACTCGCTACCTCAAGCAACTAGTGTGCAAAGATCAGTTTAAGATGGTTTGAATTTTTTTTTTGTTGTGTTCTCTAATTTTATGAATTTTTTTTATTGTACTTAATTTGGATTTGAATGGATTTTCTACTAGACCCAATGTTGCAAAAAGATGAAAAACCATCAGTATTTGTCACTGAAGGTAGTCGAGTAGTCCTAGTAATTCTCTTCCCGCAGAGGAAAAAAAGAAAAAAGGAGAGCTTAGTCAATTGACAGGCTACAGTCGCTTTATATCAACTTAATAACCACTCTTGGGATCAGATAAATCTTTTTAAATTTTAAATTTATTCAACCAATGCTTCTATAATTTATTTATATTTGTGTATATATATCATAATTTATAAGCCATAAATTTATTATTAAACATAATTTTAAAAGTCACCATTAATATTTTTTTATTTATGCATGATTAATTACTTAATTGAATTTATTCATTTTAAAAACAAATCTTAAGCTTGATTCATTTTTTTTTTTAAAAGATTTTAATTAATAAAATCAAAATTGAGTTTGAAACTATAGTTACATGTAGGGTAGGTATATTTCGTATTATCCAAAATTAGCCACTTACAATACCTTTCCAAAAGTAGTACCAGTTAATTTTGTATTATCTAAAACTTAAAAATCTTACTAGATAATCAATTAGTGGATATTATCCTCAAATTATTCCAATATATTGGTAATAATTTTAAAACATTTCCTCACGTTGAGAATATTTAATGAGACTATTTATCATGTTTGAAAGGACTCTATCTTCAAATTCATTAATATATTATAGAAAACTTTTGTTTATGACAAATGAGATTTATGTGAATCTTAATATTGAAAATCTTTTCAAAATTCTTTCATATGTTGATAAAATTTAATAAGAATTCCTTATCTAGGAATTTACATAACAATTGTTATTTGCAACGTCTTTGTAATTCTATCATTGAAAATTCAAAATCAATTTTCATAAAATAAATTACTCATTTAATTATTTATTTTTATAAATATTTTAATATATTGTAAGATTTTTTGTCAAAAAGTTTCCTACAATATAGTGGGTAGGATTCATATAAATTATATTTTTTCTTTGAACATATGTTTTTTAAAATTAATAAATTTTTAATATATTGGTAAAATCTTATTTAAAAATTTTTTTTTTCGAAATCATAAACTCTTAAATATGTTGTAAGGCTTTTACCCCCTAAAATTTATTACTAAAATTTTAACCTTCCAATATGTCAATATTGTTTTACTTACCAAAATCAATGTTTTAAAATTTTAACCTTTTAATATGTTAATACTGTTTTATTTTTCCTTAAAAATTATATTTTTTTAAAAATTATCCTTTTTTAAAGACATGTTTTGTTAAATAGGATAAATATCTAAATAAAATAAATAAATAAATTTGAAAAAAATGAAAAAAAAACATATATAAAAGATATTTAAAACTTCGACTCGACTATGAAAACGGCTTCGCTTGGCTCTAAAGGTGTAATACGGCTTGGCAACTTGGAACGACAACTCAACTTAATAGTAGCTACTGGGGAAACGGGTTTCCTAGGTCGAGTCACATTACGGGTTAGGTCAACATGCCAAGTTGCACGTGGGTTGGCAGCAAATTAATTCCTCGAAATGAAGTTATATTGACCAAGTATAAAAAGCAATAATTTTTTTTCTTTTAGACTTTCTTGTCCCTCTCTTTCTAGATTTGTTCTCTCCAACTTCTCTCTGGCATTTAGAAAAATACAAGAATATCAATGCTAGAATCTACAATCTATTGCTAAAAAATTGGAAATCTCGTAAAAAAAACTGGTTGAAAAATTAAATCTCAGCCTAAAAATTCATTGAAAAATTCAACCTTTATCAGAAAACTCATTAAAAAATTTAACCTCCACTAAAAAATGATGCCAAAAATTGGGTTTTTCATTAGAAAATTTCAAAAATTTCAAAAAAAATTCCAAAAACTTGTAGAAACTTGTCATTTGATCAATTTTAACAACCTAAGATATTTGTCCTCGTATCTTTCCCTCATATTAAACCAACACAAACTCCAACGTGTTAATCTAAAAATTGAAACACTTCTATTCAAGCTTGAATTGCCACTATTTTTTCTTATTTCTACTATCATGCTTGTGAATTTGTTGTTTATTGTTGCTTAAGTATTTATAAAAGAAATAACAAGAAATTTTGAATCATCTAGGATTCAATTTTTAAAATTTCGCATTGTCACAAAAAAAAAAAAACTACAATTTATCTTTAAGAATCCCAACTCAAATCCACTTTGGTATAGCATGAATTATCACCCAAATAAATAAAAGTTCCTTCTATTTCCGTCAGTCTCATCATTGAACCTTTTCTTTAATTCCTAATTATTTTTTATGGATAATCAAATAATTAAAGATAAAGAATAGGATAAATAAAATAAAAGATAAATAAAGATAAATAGGCAAATAAATAATAGGATAAATTAAGGTAAAAATAATAATAATAGTAAAGATATATACAAAAATAATAATAAATACAAAAGATTAAGTAAAGAAATGGATAAACTAAAAATAAATATCCAAAATTTGACAATTGAGCTTAAAGCTAATCTAAGCCCAATCTATTTGGTTTTGAGACAAAATGAAGTGTCTATGTTGTGAAATACTACATGGTTTAAGTGTAAGTTGTTTAATGCAAAATTTGTCATAATAATTTTAGGGACCACTAAACGAATATTTTAAAATTTTCAAAACAGGGACAATCGCAACTAATCTTTCTTTACTGAGTGTGATTGGCAATCCAAAAAAAATTTTCTTCTTAAAAAATTTTAAAATTAATTAAACTTATTAAAAAGATAATTTTTTGTTTTATTTGTGAAAACAAACTTTAGTTCAAAAGTTCGGTTACCCATAGGGAAAAATTAACAACCCTACAGCTTCCGTTAAAAAATGATACAATTAGTCACATGTTATCCTTTAATATTGATAAAAATTATCTTAATCTTAATATTTAAAATAATTCCCTTAATTTCATCTATTTTTGTAAAATATTTTTAAAAAAAACATTTTATTTAGGAATACAACGAAAATCTTTAGCTTTGAAACATTTCCTAAATTCCCTAATATTTAGGTAAAATTTCAAAAATATTTCTCAACTTAAAACTGCCATAATAATTCTCAAAATATAGCATAATATTCTTTTATAAAGAATAATTATGGAAAAGCCCTCCAATATCTAGGTAGGGTCCCGAAAAAATTTTTTTACTTAGGACTATTCATTTTATTTCTAAAAAATAATTTTCAAAATCACCATTTATTACCATATATTTCTTTGGATAATAACTAAATGCAAGTAATGTAGTACATGCAAATAAGTGATGCAAACATAAATTAAAAGATGAAAATACAAATACAAATTTAAAGATGCAATGATCAACTGAATTTATCCTATAAGCCTTTAATTTTATCCCTTTTATTTCTTCATCTTTATTCGTTTGTTTTAAAGAACATTTAGTGATAAAAAAATTTTATTTATATTATTTTATGTTAGATAATTTTCTCTGATTCTTCAATATCTAAGCAAAATTTAAGAAAATCAATTCTTCGTTTAAGAAATTTTTATAATCAATTTTTGAATTTATCCCTTTTAAAAAT